CTAAACATTAATTATGTAACATTTTACTCAATTAATAAAGATCACGAGAAATGCCTCACTTAACACTTTAAAAAAAATAATAAATTCTTAATATAATCAATACAATTATTTTATGCAATTGAGTCATAGCACGATTATTTTTAAAAATTTTCAAAATTGAGTTAACAGCAAATAATTTATGTCACATGTATAGTGTAGATTCACTTACTTTGTAAATAAATCAGTACATTAGATAAGTTTATAAATGAAGTTTTAAGATTAATTTAAATAAATCTTTATACATATACTGTATGATTGAATATAAATAACTCAATAAAAACTATATACAGTAAGTACCTTTACTTTAAAAAATAACAAGATATTTTCATATAATTTTTTACAATTCTTACTTGCTTCTATATCCTTTATTTTAATAGAATAAAGATTAACCCACGTGATAGTAAATGTGATTAAAAATCAAAATGTTGAAGAACTTGTTTATTATTTATAGATATGAAATTTAAAATTTAAAAATTCATATTTCACAATATTTCAAGATAAAGAAATTTGTGATTCTGATTATTATAAATAATTTTTCAAATTTTTGATTAACATTTTTTTTTATATTTTATTAAGGATCTATATATATATGTAGTTGTTCTATATTCTTCTTTTAGACTTTTTTGATAGTAATACATTATTCATATAAAGTGACAATTAGGAATAGTGTTATTTTTTAATTTTTTTGTTTCAAGATAATATTTTTAAGTTTAGAAATAGTGGAAAAATAAACTTTGTTACTAATTTTGACAGCAACCTGATAGCAACTTGACATAAACTATAACCTTATTCTAATCAGATAATAGTGTTTAATATTTTCTCTATAGATAATTGTCTTGAGAACATTTGATTTATGTGAAGATTAAATGGATTTTTGCATTTTTATATTTTTACAAAAAATGCCGAAAGTCATGCAGCAGCAGTTTTATTATTTTAATCACCATTATACTGTATAAACTAATTAGAGTAAATGATACACTGAATATACTATTAATTTCGTCATTATTTGATCTGATCTGATCAAATTTTAAGTGATCAAAGATCTACGATCAAGTGTTGCGTTCTTTTTGTATATCTGATTGTTTCAATGATTCTTATTTAGATAAAAATAATGACAATGAAAATATCTCTGATAATGAGGGAGAAGACGATGAGTCCACAGAAGTTGCTTTGCAAAGTAAATATAATTTCAGCGGAACATTTTTCGATGACGATTATGAGAGTTATTACTACAATTTAAGTAGCGGGAAGAAAGCATGAAAATTCGGATCAATTAATTAGCATATATTAATGCTTACTGTAATTGCTTTGCAAAGTGACTTACGTTGTTTCGTGAACCTGCAGCCTAATTTATTTTAGTGCAGCATTGTCTTTATTGGTTGGAGGTGAGAAGAGTCTTCATAATTATCATACGACATAGCATATATCGTACGTTTGTATCTTTTTTTTCACGTTTTTAGGCGTAAAGCGTTCTGAAATGCAGATAAATATTAATTTTCCAACTTTTATTATGATTGATTATCGGGGCGATACCGCAGAAAAAGTATTTCATAAAAAATATGCTAATAGTTAGATGATGAGCAAGGTCTATTAAATTTACCCTGTCTTTATTGGTTGGAAGTGAGAAGAGTCTTCACGATTATCGTAGGACACAGTATGTTATATTATTTCTATCCCGGCTTATCATGGCAAAGCTGTGCGTGAAGTATCATGAAGTAGATCTACAAACACTTCGTATTCTGATATACAGAAAATCATCTCTGATTATTCAGGTTTCAACTCGGATCCCTCTGAAGATAGCGAAAGTATTAATGAGGAAGAAAATGATGATATGGGTGCACTGCTTTCTGACGATAATGATGCTGGTCATTACGTATTATGATTTAAGTAGCGGGAAGAAAACGTATAAAAATTCGGATTATTATATTCATGTAACCTTTGGCCTAATTTTTTGTGAATTAATTTCATCCATTCTGCACGCATCGCTTGCCATTGTTCGAAAACTTACCAAGGAAGAATGACTCAATATTTTATTGGCGCGGACTGGAAAGCATAGTTAGGAAAGTTCTCAGATTCTCGAAGTGAAGGGAATATAATAAAGAAACACAGATCATCGAGTAGTCTCTCAGAAAAGTCGACATAGAAACTTCATGTATCCCGGGTTATGTCCCGAAATTTTGCGTTGCATGACACCACTATTGTATTAATAAAAACTCATCTTTTAAAGTTTCATTCGTATTTACTGTAAATATAAAATTAGTCACCTCTAGGTTAATATAAATATACTACACGCCGTTAACAATTTTGTTGTTAAAAAAAAATCCCATTTGATCCAAAAGATTTAAAAACACTACGTTATAGTGCGACACAAAAGCCAGTTGATTATGTCGACGTAAAGACAGTGTCAAGAGAATGGCTATTACAAGATCCTCATTTCTGTTTCTCTGGATCAATAGTAACTTTGTGCGTCACTCATATGAAAGAAGGGATGACGAAAATGCTTAGAATACACGCGCAATTTTTAATGTTGTTGGCTCAAATAAAGGCAAATTCGGTGCCAAGCACAAACAACCGGAAATGTAAGTACACAGGATACAAGAAAAAGGTGCTCTTGGGAATTTAAATACTAATTTAATAATAAAATTTTTTCATGATGGTAAAGTTTAACATTAATGGGCTTGAATTTTATTATGTACTGTAAATAATACAATAATACTGTAATAATGATATAATGATAACTAATTAGATTACAAATCAAGAATAATTAAATAAAAGTATCGGTTTCTACTTGACATAGGTTCGATAATGTACATCCTGACTATTACAAGCTATAGCCCTTGGATTTAGTTCGTGCATACTCCCACAACTCCAATATATTGAAATCCAAACATCAAACCAAGTTCCTTTTGGAGGTGTTGGCATATCAAAATCCCTTGTGTATTTGAAACTCAGAGGTATATTTTGGCAATTGTCACAGTCACAGCCATTGACCCATATAGGATCTGAAAAAAATGAATATCCACCGCCATGACCTTCTTTATTATCAACGTGCATGCTAAAGTGGCCTATTGCTGATACTCCCAAGTTGTCATGATAATTGGGAGATTCAAGCGTGAGCTCAATTATAGAATTTGGTAACAAATTAGCATCTACAACCTGAGCACCACATTCTAAAAAAAAAAAAAATATTATGTTTTATTTTTTTACCAGAATTATTACGAATTATAGTACAATAGAAAATTAACTCACTATAATTTGAACGATCATCACAACCGGTACCAGCAGGATGACAGCCATGCGTATTTTCAATTCGCATAATGAAAAAAATACAAGTAAAATGAAATATTTTTTATTCATGGCAAATTATATTATTATTTAATAATTATTATGTTCCAATTGTTGTGTGTTTATATATTTCTTCTCAAAAAAAATCTTTTCTTATAAAGGAGATTGAATGTGACGTTCTTGCACTGATTCCATACGATTTAAATTATTTAGAAATCGGTGACAATATATATTTTTTATATTTATACACTGAAGTAAACGAAATTCGCGTGTTTAATTTTATTTGAAGTGTTGCAATTAAGTGATTTTTTCACATAATTCTTCACAGTTATCATATACATACTGTAGTGTTATTGGATATAAGTGTGAAGAATTTTCATGAATTGTCATACTGTATGACAAGTGAATCACCAGCGTACTGTACTTTGTCCATCTCTTACCATAGTAGAGTAAGTATAAATAGTATAGACTTTATGGCATCTCGGGAATCTATCGCATTATTTCTACTGTATTGAGTTTGGGCCATAGAGTGATTTTCCATCTTATCTCTGAACCCCCTGTTTGATTTGCAAACAAGAAATTATAGACTCACATGCGATGTTCCGATGTGATCATTCTTTTCACATTACAGTAGATGCTGTCGTACAACCTCAGCCCGTTCTACTGTAAAAAGTGTCCAGAATGTCGAGACCACGATGTGGAACAGCTCGAACGACCTGGCTTTAAAGATGTGCGTAGACAAGAAAAATTGTTAGCTTTATACGTTGGGTGACAACTGGAAGTAATGAAGGAGAGTGCAAAAAAAGTTAAATGACGACGTCCATGGGCATTTCTCCTATTTCTCACCTGGTGTTTTAGTATCCGTAATAAAGGATACAATGAAAAGGGCTATAAAAATATATAACCTTTTTAATACTATAGGTGTAGTTAGAATTAATCGGGTTCGTACATTTTCTACAGACGTGGTCTCGATTTTAAAGTGCTAAATTCTGAGACGCCATGAATATGCGAAACACCTGGATGTTTTGTTATGTCTTTTTTATGTCTTTATATCAAATTTCTTGTACGTACCATATGTAATTATTCTAGAACAATTGTTTTTGATAGTAGTGTCCTTTGATTAGCTATATATTCTTCTTTTCCTCTAATTGATTAGTAAGACCATGATAAATGAAGTTCGCAAACAATTGAAGGGCATTTACTAAACTCTCATATGTTAAACATTCAAGCATTTAGCTTTTTTTTGGCTGGCCAGTCAATTTTTAATAAAAGAAGTACTTTTCATTTTTTTAAATGTGTGTACGTATTTTTATAACTGTGCCATATATCAGATATTGACGAATATACTAGCATTTATAACTAATCGGATGCTAATATGCAAATACTATTCTTCTCGAGTAAGACATTAACTCTGGAAATAAAATTCTAACGGCTCGTCGAATGATGTTGTTTTTGTCTTATTTCTTCGCTATTGATTAATACACCGCGAACCGTCGTAGGCTTGATAACTATATCATCTGTTAAAGCCATCACGTCGGAGGAGGCACCAGATAAGAAGACGAAATTATTGCGATGTATTCGTTATAATAAAAAGAAAAAATTAAAGTGGAAAAGAAGCTGGTAAAGATATCTTGCAAACAGGAATTAAAGCACCACCTGTCGCCACCCATTAATATCACTTGATACAATTTTTGATCGTCCAGGGTATAAAAAAGCATAAATCGTTAAATAGTCTCGGGGAAAAGTTGGATTAATAGATGCTAGAATAACATGTCCCAAACCTTTTGTATTTATGCGTGAACTTGTTATCTTGTAACAGTATTTATACAATATCGTGCTCGGCTAAGTGTGACTAATAAGAACTACGCATTTGTTTTTTCACTGTAAAGCCGCGCGCGGCGCGTCACATTCACTCTAACTTCATTTATCATTAATATACTTTTTTTTAGCATCAAATTTTTTCAGATCTGGAATTTTATCAGATGTAAATATAAAAAATGCAATGCTTTCATAATATGGTTTTGATTTGTCTTGTGCAAAATATTTAAAGTAATATTCGACTAATTTATATTTCAGTTTATTTAAACCACATCCTTAAATTTAATATTGCATTTTCTTATTTTAAAAACTTTTTTTAAAAAAATATATATAATTTGCCAATACAACACAGAAAGGCCATACTGAACTATATAAATCCTTCTGATATTTTTTTAGAATTTTATTTTATTGAAAATAACAATTTTTTTTTTATAAAATAAAAATCATTCACTTGTAATTTACTTTTTATTTAAGAAAATAAATTTATATTGAAATTAATTTTGATAGGATTAATGCCTTCTTGTTTGCACATATCTTACTTTTTTATTATTATACAATTTTCACTGATCTGAATTTATAAAACATTGTATCTTGATAAAAATAATAAATACCATAAAATTTAAATGCTAATTTTAGTACCTTGTTATACCTATCTAATTCCATTTTATTCAAAAATAATTATTCACAGGATAAAAATTTCTTATTTAATAAATTATCAAAATTATATTGTATCTACAGCATTTCTTGTTGATCCATATATTCTTCAGCTTTATAAAGTGAAAATTTAGTTTTATCAGATCAAATTACTGTACTTGAATCTTCTGCAGTTTGATTTTTATGCAAATTTGCAAATTCTAATTGAATTTTTTTATATTTCATACTCAAAAGGTGTTTCTTGCACTATGTACTATATGTGATTTAAATATATTTTTTTAAGATTCTTCAAATTTTGTTGACAATAACATTTATTTTTTTATATTTTAGGCTCTATAAATATCCATAGATGTTGTGCATTCTCCTTTTAGGATTTTTCAATAATATTATATTCTTGACATAAAGTAAGTTTAGGTGGATAATCAGATATAGATTTATTTTTTAATTTGTTTGTTTCAACTTATATTTTTTTAAGTTTAAATATGATAGAATAATGAACATTGTTACTAATTTTGGCAGCAAATCGACATAAATTATAACCTTCTTCTAATAAGGTAATGGCCTTTAATCTCTTTTCTATAGATAGTTGTCTTGAGAGCATTTGATTTGTATGAAGATTAAAAAGATTTTTTACATTTTTATATTTTTACAAAATATCAAAAGTTGTGCAACAGTAAATTTTTATTATTTTAATCACTATTCTACTATATACACTAATTAGAGTAAATGATAAACTATATGTTCTATTAATTTTGTCATTATTTGATCTGATCTGATTAAAATTCAAGTGATCAAAGATCTACAATCAAGTGTTGCGTTCTTTTTGTATATCTGATTGTTTCATAGATTCTTATTTAGATAAAAATACAGTAATGATAATGAAAATTTCTCTTATAATGAGGAAGAAGACTATGAGGCCACAGAAGTGGCTTTGCAAAGTAAATATAATTTTAGCGGAACATTTTTCAATGACGATTATGAGAGTTATTACTACACTCCCCAGAAAAAAATTACTGGAATTTCAAAATTAGGTATGATCGACCGTAGCGACTTGATGTTTACAATTTTTTTTTGTAAATAAAAGTTTGCACCGATTCTTATAATTTTTTATCCACAGTTTCTCTTGATCCTCTGCTATCCGAATATACATAAATTTTTTTTTTGTTGTGATTTTTTATAATGACAAAAAAAAGAAAAGAACTTACCGAACAACAGCGCAACCAAATAATCGGAGCTTGGAAGTGTAGTATAAAGCCATCGGCTATTATAAAAACCCTGGAACTTCCTCAGAGCACCATTTATGATGTTGTTACACTATACAAAAAAACTGGTCAAGAGAAACCTCCTCCTCGTCCAGGAAAACCACCAAAATTAACCAGACGTGATATTCGTTACCTTGTCTATCTTTTAAAACAAGATAGAAAGTCCACGCTACATGTCTTAACCAATAAATTTATTGAATCAACTTTTATCAAAGTTTGTGCACGTACCATACAACACTATCTTCATGAAGAAGGTTATTTTAACCGTGTTGGCAAGAGAAAGCCCTTTGTAAATAAAGAAAAAAGTAAGATTAGATTAAAATGGGTAAAGAAACAAATGTGTTGGGAAAAAGAGTGGAAAACTATAATTTGGAGTGATGAATCTCGGTTCGAAGTATATGAAGGAGATGGTCGTAGTTATGTTTGGCGAAAGCCTAAAGAGAAATTTGATGTTAAATGTTTAATTACAACTTTTAGATCAGGCAGAATAGGTGTAATGGTTTGGGGATGTTTCTGTTATTACGGTCTAGGTCCCTTGGTTCGAGTTTTTGGCAATATGACTGCGAAAGATTATGTTGATATCTTACAAGATTATTATTTACCATATTTAGAGAATTTAAATAGTATAGTTGGAGAAAAAAATTACACATTTCAAGACGATAATGCAAGAATTCATACAAGCTTTCTTGGCCTTCAACAAGTCCTGATCTTAATCCCATAGAGCATTTATGGGATGAATTAGAACGTCATATACACAGTCACATTCCTTTACCAACCAATGAGTCAGAGTTGTTTGATTTATTACAAAAAGAATGGTTCAATTTAGACGGCTCAGTTTATGTGAATCTTGTTAGAAGTATGAATCGACGTGTTAAAGCTGTG